ATTTGAACCGCTGACCTGCTGATCTAGCAGTAGCCTGCAGTGCTGCATTTAACCACTGCGCCACCTTGGCTCTTATCTTCTGGAATGAAAAAACCAGAGGGAGGGAAGGATCAACTCAGCATGCCGTTTGTCTGGGGTCAATCCCTGCTTATCTAAATTTACGAACTCTGCCAATCAGGAGAGGTAGTCCTCGACTTACAATCATTCATTTAGTGACCACCCGAAGTCACAATGGCACTGACAAAAAGCCACTCACAGCCCCTTTTCACACTTCGTTGCAGCGTCCCCGATGGTCAGGGGATCCAAATTCAGGCACCCGGACAACTGACTCGCATTTATGACTGTTGCGGTGTCACCTGATCTCCTCTTGCGACCTTCTGATGAGCAAAGGGGGAGCCAGATTCACTTAACAACCGCGTGACTAACTTAAAAATTGCAGTGATTCAGAAAGGTCATAAAATGGGGCAAAACCAGTCTCGCTGAGGAACACTTTTTTCGACTCAGTTGTGGTCATAAGTCGAGGACTGTCCGTAGTCTTTTTCTAGTCCGGCCTACCTCACAAGGATGTGGTTGTAAGACAAAAAAATAATAATGAGGAAAACGTCACATTTATGAAGATCCGTAATTTCTGGGCTACCTTTCATTGTCGTTTTTCCCCTGGTTTGTGGTCATGTCTAAAACCTTCTCATCTTTGGTTTATGCTAGGCAAGGAGGCTGGCCTTTTTGACATGATCATCATTAACGATGACTTGGAGGAAGCCTATACAAAACTGAAAAACATTCTGGCTGAGGTGAGTCGTTGGGACTTTGTGGGAAGCAACCATCACAAGTTCAATTCGTAAAGCAAATTACCTGGGTTCATGAATATCCTTGTTAAACCATTGCATTTCTTGGGAACTTCCAGAAAAAGAACAGCTGCTTGGAGGAAAACAGGACTGGTTTGCAATGGGAAGGCCTGCCTGGCGCTGGGTTGCGTTTTAGTTGCCTATTGTTATTTATTTAGTACTAGCCGGCGTTGCCCCGGTGATTATTTTTAGGGGGAAGATGTAATTTCTAATGTTGGGTTTTCCCCCTTACCAGAGGGAGCCCCCTGGTGGAGTATTGTGTGAAGCTGTTACTATGGCAACTCCACTGCGCTTTACAGTAGAAGCCATTTTAGAACAGTACAGCAGAAGCCGTTTTAAGGCACAACAGGCTGTATCTTAACAGAACACACACCCTGAAGGGTGTTAGGGGTATCTTACCATCATAGTATTTGTTTCCAGAGAGCAAGTCATCTGTATATCAAATGTGGTTGAAAGTGCTCAAGGCATTCCAGAGTTATGCTGGAACACACACACACAGATACACACAGCAATTTATATATATATATATATATATATATATATAGATAGATAGATAGATAGATAGATAGATAGATAGATAGATAGATAGATAGATAGATAGATAGATGA